AGTCAGTAGTAGTAGTAGTAGTAGCAGTAGTAGTAGCAGTAGTGTAGTAGTCGTAGTAGTAGTAGTAGTAGTAGTAGTAGTAGTAGTAGTAGTAGTAGTAGTAGTAGTAGTAGTAGTAGTAGTACTAGTAGTAGTAGTAGTAGTAGTAGTAGTAGTAGTAGTAGTAGTAGTAGTAGTAGTAGTAGTAGTAGTAGTAATAGTAGTACTACTATTACTACTACTACTACTACTCGTAATAGTAGTGGTAGTAGTAGTCATTTTGGCAGTAGTAGTAGTAGTAGTAGTAGTAGTAGTAGTAGTAGTAGTAGTAGTAGTAATCGTAGTAGCAGGAGGAGGAGGAGGAGGAGAAGGAGGAGGAGGAGGTGGAGGACCCCCTCCCCACGCCTCTTATGGCAGTGGTGGCGGAAAACGCACATGACAGAGAGAGGAGAGGGGAGGCGAGACGGACGGAGGAGGCAGCAGTGCCCTCTCTTCGAACACGAGACTGGGCGGCGCGCCCGGAAGGGGGGGAAGTGAGAAGGGGGCGGGCCCTCTCGGAAAGCTCGGAAGTCCTCTGGCCTCAGCTGCTCCGATACGCAACACGCAACACGTAGCGCATTGATACAAAACTCAACACGTATACTGAACACGTACAGTTTAAGCACGGACGTTCTGATCACGGCACGTGTTACGTTGCAAAACGTGCGCATCAGAGCAGCTAAGCCTGTGGCCTTCTAAGAAGCTTTCTAGGCTTTCCCCGAAGGCACAGAACGCCTCTCCGAGCTTCTCGCTTTCCCCCCTCGCTCGCCGCCGAGAGACAGGACGAGAACCCCAACACAGGATCAGGAGAGCCCGGAATCGAATCGAGAAGTCGGATGGGCGATCGGAACGAATCGGATCGGCGGAAATCGGCAGCCGAGTCGGGAGAAGTCGAATCAGCGGATATCGGCATGCTAGAAGGCCTCCATGAAGAGATCGGAATCCAAATCGGGATCCCAAGTCGAATCGAATCGGAATCGGACACCGTCGAGATCGAATCGAACCGAATCGGAGGAATCGACACGAGCCCTGCCCCCCTCGCTCGCCGCCGAGAGACAAGACGAGAGACCCGACGCAGGATGGCTGGGAACTGCTCCTGAGCCCGGCTCCGGGACGGCGCTCTTGCCAGACTTGGGCGTCGCTTACTGGCAGGGCTGGACCTACACAAACATTGTTTTTCGCTTGTTTTCGTTCATGCTTTTCGTCTTGCTCTCCCTGCTTTCCTGTGCCTCCCTGCCAAAACGAAAACCAAAACACAGCCGAAGCCCAGCAAACCAACGTTTAGATCCAGCCCTGCTTCCTGGTGGGGGGGCGACAAAAATAGGGGGGGGAATAGCGGTGCACTTCTCGGGCCCCGCAGGCCCTCCTTGGGGCCTTAAGAGGTCCCCCGTGGAGGGGCCCCAGTATGCCCCTTTGCTGCAGCCCTCCCCTCCTCCTCCTCCTCCTCCTCCTCCTCCCCCTCCTCCTCCTCCTCCTCCTCCTCCTCCTCCTCCTCCTCCTCCTCCTCCTCCTCCTCCTCCTCCTCCTCCTCCTGGCTCGACACGCAGACTGAAAACGTAATTAGGCATTGACGCCACACGCTCGCCACAGCGTCGGCCAGAGCGCTGCGCCGACACGCCACGCGTTGACACGGACGTCACGAGCACGGCACGCGTTGCGCTTCGAGACCGGCGCATCGAGGCAGCTCAACTGACGACCTACCGGACCACCCCAACCCAACCCGAAGACCCGAATTTCGTGTGGGTGTGTGGGGGGGACACAGGGCAGGTTTTAATACATAGGATTTTGTAATACATGGGAATTTTAACACATTATGAATTTACGAATAAATCATGGCATGAATTCATCATTGCTTGTAATACTAAAATTCTTTATTTTTAATACATGATCCGCACGCGGAGCATGTATTAAAAACGGCACAGTACTGCCTTCATGTCTGTTTTTCCATGTTCCTCGACCCTCCCCCCCCCACCTGGAAATGAAGGGGGGCAAATATCGAGGCTTTCGGGCTGGGTCGGGGTGGCTTGGTGGGTGGTGATCAACTGGGAGCTGCTCCTGGGCCCGGCTCCAGGACGGCGCTCTGGCCAGCCGCTCTCGGGGGGGGGGGGAGAGAGCGCGGCCGCGGCGACGGGGAGCCCCCCCCCCAGGGAGGACCCCCCGCACCAGAACCTCGCTCCCCGATCGATCCTGGACCCTCGATCCTCGATCCTCGATCGATCCTCGATCCTCGATCCTCGATCTATCCTCGATCCTCCATCCTCGGCCGATCGAGCTCCTTCCTCAGAGCCCAGCTCACGAGGACCACCCTGCTCTCCAGCCGACCAAAACTGGTGGAGGTGTCGTCCTGACCCCCCCTTGGGGAAGCCCTCGTATCGCCGATCTCTCGAGAGGGGTGTCGAAGCCGAGGGAGCCCACAGGGAGGCGAGGACCACAACTCCCCGACTTGTGGCTGGCCTGGCTGTTGCCCCCCCTTGCCCCCGTCCTGGTCTGACAGGCGGATCGCCTCGTCCCAGAGCGGGAGAGGCAGCCGGAACGTGTTCTCCCTCTGCCTGTTCTTGGGCTTCCACCGGTGCCTGCTCAGGAGACCTCTTGGCGGCCCCCCCCCCGGAAGCTGGTTGCGGCGTGCGCTCCCAGCGGGAATAATCTCTTGTGCTTCGGCAGGGCAGAGAGGACGTCACTCCACAGTGCGTGGTGCGAGAGACGGTGCGCAGCAGGTTATCACACGACGGAGGCACCAGCCATGTGGCATCGCGCAGCGGAGGAGGGGCTGACTGCCTGAGGGGTCCGCCGAGCGGCCGTTGGCATGCCCCAGGGCGCGCTCAAGTGGCACGGGGCCCGCCCCTGAGGAGCGAATCGTCCCTGAAATGAGGGGCACTGACGTCACATCCGGCGGTGCGGCCAGTGGCTTCCTCGGCAGGTCACTCTGCGAGAAGGTGCGGGGGAGGGGCCCGCGTGAAGAGCTCGTGGGCAGGGAGATGGCGAGAGGGGAGGGAGGGAGAGAGAGAGAGAGAGAGAGAGTTGGAAGCGCGGGTAGGGGGAGCAGGAGGTGATTAGAGGGTGAGGGTTGCAAGCGAGGGGGGAGGAAGATGGGGACGCGGAACACAGCTTGAAGACTGTGCGTCTGGCTGGAATTAGCCCACTACGGGGCGAACTCTCTCGAAGGCGCAGGGTCTCCGCCAGCGCGCTGCTGGACGGAGGGAGGATGAAATGTCGTGGGCATCCTGCCTCAACCCGGGCGAGGCCGCGAGCCCACAGGGTACCGCCCCTCGAGGAGAGGGATGGCGGAGGGCGTGGAGGGATGAAATGGTCACCTACCGCGCTTCAAACCCATTCTCCAACGTCCAAGCTCCTGGTCGATCGATTGAGCTCAAGGGGCGACAGAAGGCACAGTAGTGATGTCCCGCTCATATGGACGAGGCAAACATCAACCAAGTCTTTATGATCAGGGTGCGGGTTGCCAGGCAGACGCACACCGATTGGCGGGATTGTGGCCGAGTAGACTGCGGATGGCTCATCTACTGAATTTGACCGCTGCCGACAACTGAAACGCGACACCTTATGCCTAGCTGGCCACTCATCGACTGTGCCGACATGTGCGAGGGCAGGAAGAGGAGGCGAAAGAGGAAGAGGAAGAGGAGGAGGGGAGGAGAAGGAGGAGGATGAGGATACTATCTAAGTGCGTGGATGGGATGTGGCGCTGCGTGCTCAAACCGAGGGCCCAACCTCCAAAGGATGGCTGCGAACAACGGGCGCTCCAATGCCCAATGCCCCGTAAACGGGGGCGTTGACTAACTAAGATGTTGGCAGCCGTGGGCCGACACTTTCTGCACTCTTGTTTAAAGGGGCCCTGGGACACACACACACACACACACACGCGCACACACACACATACACACACACACACACTAGTAGACACAAATAATAGGATTCTCCATGTTCTCCCGTTTTTTTTCTGAGCTTGTGTCTTCCCACCCGCTTCCCATATTTTCCAATACTTTTCTGGGGAATCGATGATTCATTGCGTCTGTGTGTGCTTTTCCCCGCCTGCTGTTCGTCTCCCGCCGGGTCCGTCGAAGCCCTGGCCTGCAGCGGCCCGGAGACGGCGCGCAGACCCTCCGGGACCCTTCCCGAAGGTGCTCGTCCACAGGGGGGGGCAACGAGGCGTGGGGCGAAGAAGCTGCCTGCCCACCGGACCACCCCCAATCCATCCAACCCGCAGGCCCCCGGCTCGGGAACGGGAATTGATGTGCGGGGGTACGGGTTCCACGTGTGTGCGTGTGCGTGTGTGTGTGCGTGTGTGTGTTTTTCCATGTTCCCGACGCCCCCGCCCTCCCCCCCATCGGGAATGGAGGGCACACTGGGGCCGTCGGGTTGGGGCTGGGCGTCTTGTCGGGTCGGGCGAAAGGGGGTTATAGCAAAGGGGGGATTCGAGAATCAGCTCACGTAGCTGATCTTCCCGGCGCCTCCCGCCGCCGGAGGCGGCAATGCATCGAGGAAGGAGCCTCTCAGGTGGGGCCGAAACCAGCTGCATGCAGCAAATTTCGTAACCCTCCCTTTCCCAATCCCCCCCCGTTCGTCCGGCCCGAAGGTACAGTCGAACCCTGGGGCAGAAGAACATCCCTCGAGGACGCGAGACCCTCCGCTGGCCAGGTGCACAGAACATCGAGGCGCACCCTCCTCTGAGGCGCGCAAGGCATGGACTATAGCGACCCATGGAGGATGTGGCGCGCGGTGGCCAGATCCATGGATCGTCGTCCGGCCCGATCTTGCTGGGTGGTGAGAAGCGTGCACCTCTCGGGCACCTCCTCGGCCCGCAGTGGCAGCTCGGGGGCCGCTCAGGGCCCCCCCCCCTGGGGCCACTCTCCTGCAGCCCTCGGCCCAGGAGGCCCCCAGGAGGAGGAGGAGGAGGAGGAGGAGGAGGAGGAGGAGGAGGAGGAGTTTCTTTGCTGCCGCAGGAGGCGCCGCCCGATGATGCGCCGGCACGCCGGCGCGCGGGCCGGCGCCCGCCGCTCGCACGCCGAGAGGGCGCGCCCGCCGCGCGCTCGCCGCCCCCCCTGCGGGCGCAGGCGCGCTCCCGCCGCCACGGCGCACGCGGCAGACCCCGCCGCCGGAGGCGAGGCAAGGCCTTCAGGCTGGGAGCGGCCAAGAGGGGGGTGTCCAAAAGGGGGGGGGTGCAACTCATGACCGGCGGCATGTGCGCGGCCCAGCGGGGGGGGCAGGGACGTGATGAAGTCAGACGATGCGCCAGGAAATCTGGGGAAATACCATGGCCCACGCCATGATATATCCCCCCCCTAGTCATCACCCCCCTCTTTGCCGCCCCCGATCAGTGGAGGAAGGTGTGGTTGCCGGCCGACTTGCCCACGAACGGGTTCCTCAGCTCGGCGTGGCCCCGCCAGAGGAACTTGTCCGCCAGCTCCGGCCGCTCCAGCAGGAGGGCGAAGGGCCGCTCCAACTGCCGGCGGCCCTGCTCGTCCACCACCGAGCAGTAGCCACGGCGGTTCGTCCGGCTGATGTAGTCGTTGGACGGCCGCTTCGTCATGTGCCAACCCTCGGGCCCGATCTCGGGCGCCCTGGCGTCGCACCCGCGCCACATCATCTCCTCGTTGGTCTCAGAGTCCAGCCCGCTGTCCAGCCTCGGGACTCTGGGCTCAGCGTAGTGGGAGTACTTGAAGATGATCTCCGGGATCGACATCCCGAGGTTGTGCACGTGGCGCGAGGCGACATGAGGCATGCTCCCGCCAGACCCGCGCGTCCTGACCTCCTCGCTGTCCATGGCGCCGTTCATCAGGCACTCCGCCAAGATGGAGTTGGGGCGCGTCCAGAAGGGCTTCACCGTGGGGCAGTCGATGAAATACTCGTAGACCTGCGAGATCAGGCTGACTGTCGCCTTCGGACAGACCTTTGCCGCGGGTTTCCCCGCCAGCAGGTCCCGCCGCGCCGACGCGAACTGCGGCACCTCGCAGGACGTCAGGGCGGCCAGGCTGTGGGGCAGCGGGATCTCGTCAGAGTCCGCGATGAGGACGACGTCTGTCTCATTCGTTTCCCAGCTACCCTGCGCGTCCTTGAGGCCCTCTGTCAGCTTTGCCCGCGTCCACTGCTCCAGCAGGAGGCCCTTGGTCAGGAAGCTCTTGTTAGGCCGAAGAAGGCCCTCCTCCTCCTTCTTCGACAGGTCCGACATGGTCTTGTTCGGGATCGGGCTCTCGAGCACCATGTGCCTCAGCTGGTCGCCGAAGCGGGCGAAGCCGGGCAGCGACATGTTCAGGCTCAGGTTCCTCGGGTGCCCGCGCTGCGTCATCCTGGGATCGAGCGCGATGATGCGGGACACGAAAGGGGACACCTCCAGGAAGTGCATCTCGTAGGTGTCCGTCTGGCCGTTGTTGCCGGTGATGGTGCCGTAGAAGAGCCGGGGCCTCGGCGCGCCCGGCGGCAGCGGCTTCCAGCCCCAGTACTCGCAGAGGCCGCCCGCGCCGCCGAACTCCTCCGGGAGCGGCCAAGAGGGGGGTGTCCAAGAGGGGGGGTGCAACTCATGACCGGCGGCATGGGGGGGCCAGGGACGTAATGAAATGAGAAGAGGCGCCAAGAAATCTGGAGGACTATCATGGCCCACGCCATGAGATCCACCCCCCCCCCTAGTCATCACCCCCCTCTTTGCCGCCCCCGACTCCTCCAGCACCTGCTCCACGCTGCGCGCGGGACGCCCGGTGCCGGCGCCGCTGGGCGCCGCCGCGCGGCCCGCTGGGAGCGCCGCGGGGGCAGGCGCCGCCGCCGCCTGCGGGCCTGGGGCGGCCGCCGCCGCCGGCGCGCCCGAGGCCTGCCCGGCGGGGAGGCCGGGGTCGCTCGGCCGCCGCGCCGGCTCCCTGAGCGGGGCCGGCCCGCTCAGGGACGAGGCCGCCAGACTCGCTGCCCGGAGGAGGGGGGCCGAGCCGTCCACGGCGAGGCCCCGCCAGAACCAGGCGCCGAGCAGCACGAGGGGCACCGCCAAGGACAGCGCCCTCGTGGTGGACGGCGACCAGCCCTCCCGCCTTCCGGCGCCCATCCCATCCAGCACAGCCTATGGCCGCTACACGGCGTCTATGTCGCAGGGGTGGGCGCGCGCCGGATGCCACATGCCCGGGCCGAGCAGCGCCCCCCTGAGCCAACATGGCTACGGAGGAGGAGGAGGAGGACACGAGGTCCCCACGAGGCCCCCAAGAGGCCCCCACGAGGCCCCCACGAGGCCCCCAGGGGGCCCCCGAGAGGCCTCCCACGAGATTCCAGGGAACAGCCACTGGGCTGATAACCCACAGCCCAGGGCTGGACCTAAACAGTGTGTGTGTGTTTCGCTCTCGCTTCGGCTTCGTTCCCCCTCGCTTTGTCTGGAGTTCGCCCCTGCTGCCAAACGATACCGAAACGAAACCGGACCACGAAGTCGCCAGGACACCGTCGAGGTCCACCCCTGCCACAGCCGTTGGGCACGGTGGCGGGACGTGCCGTGGGCAGCTGGGCAGACGCGCGGCGAAGAAGCGTGCGGGCACCTCTCGTGCACCTCCCTGCCGGGCCCGCGGTGGCAGCCCCGTGGGACCGTCGGCCCCCCCCCTTGGGCGCCCGAATTATCCGGGGTAGCTCGGGCCCGGGGTAACGCGGGTTCGGACTCCCGAAAAGCGAACCCGAGTTAGCCCTGACCAGAGTTACCCCTGACCCGAGTTACCACTGATGGTTCGGGGCTCTGACCCCCCATTCCTCCTCGAAGAATCAAAGGCATGCTCTTCCCGCGGCGTGGCGGCGCCACAGGGCCCCAACATGTCAGTGCTCGCGCCGAAACTGGCGACTGCAACCACCAACATCTGACCCCGCGGGCCGCGCTTCGCGCGTCGATCGGCCTCGAACACCTGCGCTTCCTCTCGAGGAGGGATGTGGGGCCGCGCTCCTGCAGTGCTGGATTCCTCAGCGTTCCTTGCGCCTCTCTCGGGGATGGACAGACCCCCCTTTAGTAAAACGTGGTTTAGTGAAAACGACCTGAGGCCCAAACCTGGCGGGCGCAAGCCTGGAAAATAACGGCCACGGCGCCATCTCGAGAACCGAAAACGGACAATTCACTAATCGACGTGTCACTGTTGGGGGTTCTGTCCACCCCCGACTCTCGTGCGCCTCTTTGGCCCGAGCGGGGATGCCTGGAGCGAGGGCGCCTGGTCCCTGGGGGCCTGGCGGAGAGACGCCAGAAGCTCCACGCTGCTCCCAGGCAGGCGTTGCTGCCCGGAGAATGGAGCAGGGACCGAGCGTCCCGGCATCCCTATAGTCCTACCACGAAATGTTCTTAGAACCCAAAGATGTTCTAAGAAGCGACACGTTGTTCCTAGAACATAGGCCCGATGCGTGAAAACAGGACGCTCCCAGCCAGAAATGGTCTCAGAACAGTTCGTGCACACCACACAAGGTTCTTAGAGCATTGCTTGGTGGGGCTCTAGGCGAGCCGGGACGCTCCGCCGCTGCTTGAGAGAGGGGGAGCCGATTTTTGACGGCTCAGGAAGGCACTTGGGAAGGAGGGAAGGAGGCCAGGAGGGAAGGAGAGAAGGAGGGAAGGAGGTAGGGAGGAATTGAGGGAAGGAGGGGGAGGAACAAGGAGGAGGAGGAGGAGGACAAGGAGGAGGAGGAGGAGGAGGAGGAGGAGGAGGAGGAGGAGGAGGGGGATGAGGAGGAGGAGGAGGAGGAGGAGGAGGAGGAGGAGGAGGAGGAGGAGGAGGAGGGTGAGGAGGTGCGGGGAGAAGCAGGCAGACGACGACGAGCGCACAGGCGGGAGGCCGGCGGGGCAGGCGGGCAGGCGGAAGGGGGGCCGGGCCGCAGTGGCAGCTCAGAGGCCCTCCAGGGCCTCTGGGGCCACTTCTCCTGCAGCCCTCGGTCCCCCCACGGTCCTTGCGTCCCCGCTGCCGTCGGCCCGACCGTCTCCTCGCGGGACCCCTCTCCTTCATGGCGAGCTCCAGTGCTGGCAGAGCTTCGGCTTGCGCACAGACGGCCCTCCCAGGTAGCCCCCTCTGGCCTCAGCAGGCTCCTCCGGGTAGCCTGGGGCGGCCTCAACCACACCTCTACCCTTGGGCGCCCAGGGGCGCGGCCAGAGGTGGCGCCAGGATGTTGAAAGCGCCCCGGACAACTGTCGGGAACTTTTGCTTAGCGTGTCGCGGCGGCGGCTCCGGCGACAGGCTATGCCCTGCAAGCGGATAGTACGTCACTCCGCTCCGCGGGGCGGGAGGCTGGGAAAAGCTCGGGACGTTGACGCCTGTGGACCAGGAAGTGGGTAGCGTATCGCGCGAAGCGTGGTGTGCCGGAACCGGTGGAGCAACACGCTATCCAAAAGTTCCCGACCGCACTCACGGGGGCCTGTTTTGGCGGCGTGCAGAGAGGTGTAGGGGGAGGAGGGAAGGCTGCTCAGAAGGAGGCGCGAGCCTCACATCCACCGGCAGGGCCCGCGCCTTCTGAGAACCAACCTCCTTCCAAGAGGCCCATCCCCCCTCTCCCTGACCCCCCTCTGCGCGTGGTCGAAATGGGGGCCGGCCAGGGCCAGGCAAGCGGGGCTGCCCGGAAGGGCCGCCTGTGGCGCAGCCCGAGGCCTTGCCATCCGGTGCTCTCTCGACTGTCCGGAGTGTCCTCCTCCTCCTCCTCCTCCTCCTCCTCCTCCTCCTCCTCCTCCTCCATCTCCATCTCCTCCTCCTCTCCTCCATCCCTCCATCTCCTCCTCCTCCCCTCCTCCTCATCTCCTCCCTCCTCCCTCCTCCTCCTCCTCCTCCTCCTCCTCCTCCTCCTCCTCCTCCTCAGGGCAGGGCCCCGCCCGCCGCCTCCGAGGATGAGGTTGGAGTTGTTCAGCAGGGACAGCAGCGCCTTGAGGTACAGCCGGGTGTACCTCGGGCGGCGGGCGCGGCGGGCGCCGCCGCCTCCTCCCGGAGGGGCCGCTGGGCAGCCGTATGCTGCTGCTGCTGCTGCTGCTGCTGCTGCTGCTGCTGCTGCTGCTGCTGCTGCTCTCCTCCTCCTCCTCCTCCTCCTTTCGCCCCTCCTGCTCCTCCCTCCTCCCTCTTCCTGCTCCTCCTTCCCCTCCTCCTCTTCCTCCTCCTCCTCCTTTTCCTCCCTTCTCCTCCTCCCTTCTCCCCTTCTTCCCTCCTCCGTCCTCCCCCTCCCTCTGTCCCTTCCCCTTGTAAATAACTCTTTCCTGTCGCACCCCCAGTCGTGTCGATAGGGCAAGCTGGGCGTTTCGCCTGAGACTTCCCCAACACCCATGATCCTGAAATTTGAAATTCACTGAAATTCACAGCGCGTTCGATGATGGAGGACAGGTCGTTTTCAAAATGTGACTGTCGAATTCGCGCCGCGCGCAATTTTATTCAAAGCTTGCAACAGCTGATGGGATGGCGGGAGGCTCCTTTTCAAAACGTGGCTCTTGCCTTCGCGCCGAGCACATTCGTCAAACAAATTCAAGGATTCGTGCGGATGAGGACTCTGGAGTTGTGCGCGGGCAAGATTGACGATTGTCAGGGCGCAGCAATCACGTGGACTCGCGGTGCCGACGTCCCAGGAGAGGTGTTCTGGTACGATCGTGGAATGCCGGGACGCAGCAGTCACGTTGATCCGTGATCGATAGTCCTATGAGTGAAGGAGAGAGAGAGAGAGAGAGAGCATCTGGTACCTATAGGGACAGTCACTTGGCACGTCGGGGCGAGCGGCATAGCGCAGTGGAGTACATTTGCCGTCCTGGGTCTTGCATGGGGATGCTGCGGCAGACTGGCAGACTCTTCAGCAGAGGAGGCCGCTCTTGATTCGAGGCTGTCCCAAGCTGAGCGTTTTCAGGTCAAGAGTGGCGTGCGGAGGCAAGGGCGAGATTGGCCCATCGGCGGTTGATGAGGGCGACCTTGTTAGCTGCGCGTTCGCAGCAACTGCTGAGGAGGTCGGAAAATTGTGATCCAGACAGGCAGTTATCGTGCTGTGAAGAAGGGTTCCGTAGGATACCAGGCACGACTGTGTAAGAAACACGTTCCAGACACGCGATCATACGGGTGACCTGATGATTTCTCACAGCCCCATTCTCCCAACCCGGTAATTTCGGGTCGGGCGAAAGGGGGGGATAGCAAAGGGGGGGTTTGAGAATCAGCTCACGTAGCTGATTTTCCCGGCGCCTCCCGGCGCCGGAGGCGCCCATGTATCGAGGAATGGGCCCCTCGGTGGGGCCGAAACCAGCTCCATGCAGCAGATTTCGTAACCCCCCCTTTCCCAATCCTCCCCTTTCGCCTGGCCCGACCCTCCTTCCCCTTCAGCCGTGGCCATGTTTTCGTCCAGGCGCGTGCTGGGCAACCTCACGGGCCCGGCGCGCCGTGTGCCGCGCTCGTCGGCGCCGGCGCCGGCGGCGTGCCGCAACGAACGGCTCTGGACTCCAGACCCAGTGCGCGGGCCCGGAGGCTGTGTCAGTGGGGTCGGGCGGAAGGGGGGGATAGCAAAGGGGGGGTTTGAGAATCAGCTCACGTAGCTGACTTTCCCGGCGCCTCCCGGCGCCGGAGGCGGCCATGTATCGAGGAATGGGGCCCTCGGTGAGGCCGAAACCAGCTGCATGCAGCAGATTTCGTAACCCCCCCTTTCCCAACCCCCTCCTTTCGCCCGGCCCGTGTCGGTGGGGAGGGAAGTGTTCAAACCACCTGCGGGGCTTCAATCTCGGGGGGGAGCGAGGGGCTCATGAAGCTCACCGGCTCTCGATTCAAAAGGTGATGCTTGCTGGACGTGTGTGGTGTGTGTGTATGTGTGTGTTCCCGGGCGGCTGCTCGAATCGAGATGAGCAAGCCTGATGACCCCACCGCCATACGTAACGCAAGGGAGTTCTTGATAGTGTTCCGCCCAAAGCTTCAACTAGTAAGTAGCAAGTTGTTCCGATTTCGACAGCAGTGCCGTTCCAGTCCACTCCTCCTGCCCCTTCTCCTCTAGTCTGCTTCCTTCTAAATAGCTCCTCCCTGTCGCACCTCGAGGCCGGTCGGAAGGGCGGGCCGGGCATTTCGCCTGACACTTCCTCACCACTCTTGACCCTGAAGCTTAAACATTTGCAAGAGTTTCACGGATTGAGGGCGGGCGGTTTTCAAAATGTGGCTCTCGCCTGAACGCCACGCACCTTGGCCTCAACAGTTTGCAAGAGTTCCACGGATTGAGGGCGGGCGATTTTCATCATGCTCTCGCCAAAGCGCCGCGCACATTCTTTCTAGAATTTGTAAGAGCTTCACGGATTGAGGGCGGCTCGTTTTCAACATGTGGCTCTTGCCTTAGCGCCTCGCACATTCTTGCTTAAAGCATCGCAAGAGTTTGACTGATTACCACGGTCAGCGTACCAGAAATAGCATCCTGGAAGGACTTAGGAATTGTGAGGGTGCAGCAGTTACGTTGGCTCGCGGTGTCGAAGTCCCAGGAATGGTGTTCGGGCACCATCAAGGACCGTCAAGACGCAACAATCAGGTCGATCCGTGGCGTTGAAGTCCCGAAAACGGTGTTTTGGCATGCTTCAGGGTCTTCAAACTATTGTCTCCCAACTAGGCAACTCCCTGTGGAAATGAACCCCTGTCGGAGCATACGAACTGGGAGCTCGGAGGGAGGATGTATTCCAACATCGTTGATGAGTCTTGGGTTTGCACTGGTCCTTCACCTTCTCCTCCTCCTCCTCCTCCTCCTCCTCCTCTGGCTCCTCCTCCCCTGCTCCACCTCCTAGTCCCGGAGGACTGCTGCTCCCCCTCTTCGTCTCCCTCCCGCTTCCTCCGGCTCCTCCTGTTCCCTCCCTCCCGTCCTCCTCCTCCTTCTCCCATCTCCGTTTTCTCGCACCCCCCACCCCGCATCCTCCTCCCTTTTCTCCCACGCGTGCAGGGGCAGGAGGAGCCTTCTTTCCTCGAGGTCGCGCCCCCTAACGCCTTCGAAGGCGCGGGGGCATCTGAGAAGGCTGGGAGCCTCCCCCCACAGACCCCCTCAGACCCCCGCGCGTGCTGTATCCTTCGCACTGTGAGACCCACCGGCGGTCTGGAACCCACTCCCCTGGGAATCTTTTTTCGGCTGTTCCTGAAGGTGCCCCTGGCCCAAGGGGCCCCCCAGCTTTTCACTCAGTTTGGGAGCCCCCGGGGCCCTCTGGGCCTAGTGAGGGGGATGCGCTGGAAGCCGTGGGGGCCTCCTTGGAAATCCTGGGGGCTCTTTGGGCCAGGGGCACTTCTAGCTTTTGCGCAACGGGTGGTCTGGTTGGCGGTTCTCGGAGCCGAGAAGGGGCGTCAGAACCCCTGAGGCCCCCCATGGCGCTAGACAGTCACCCTGCGACGTAACCAACCCATCTGCAACAGGTGACCGGAAATGTCACGGAGGACGACGTGACAGGGACAGCGAGGTCCCACCTGGATCCTCTCCTCCTCCTCCTTCTCCTCCTCCTCCTCCTCCTCCTCCTCCTCCTCTTCCCCTCATAAACCCTTGAAAGTGACGGTAGTTTCGCAGCTCGCAGCCCTCAAACACGGCGAGGTCCGTCTTGGATCAGCGTGGGCCCGCACTGCGCTGGACCCAGGAGGACAGAAGGCAGGGAATGGAGAAGAGGAGGGAGGATGAGGGAGGAGAGGAGAATGAAGGAGGAGTGAGGAAGGAGGAGAGGAGGGAGGAGGGAGGAGAGGAGGAGAAGGGAGGAGGGAGGAGGGAGGAGGAGGGAGGAGGGGGGAGGAGGAGGGAGGAGGGAAGAGGGAGGAGGAGGGAGGAGCAGGGAGGAGAATGATGAGGGAGGAGGGAGGAGGAGGAGGGAGGAGAGGGAGGAGGAGGGAGGAGAGGAGGGAGGAGAGGAGGGCGGAGGAGGAGGAGGAGGGGGAGGGGGAGGAGGAGGAGGAGGAGGAGGGGAGGAGGGGGAGGAGGAGGGGAGGCGGGGGACGCAGGAGGAGTGAGAGGGGAGGCGAGCCGCCTGGCACACAGCTCCTTCTTCACCTCCTCCAGCTCCTCCTCCTCATCCTCCTCCTCGTCCGCTCTTTCCCCTCCTCCTCCTCCTCCTCCTCCTCCTCCTCCTCCTCTTTCTTCTTCTCCGCTGTTCATGCTTCTCCGTGGCGACGACGGCCGAAATTCGCTCAAAGGTTGTCCCCCGTCTCTTCGTGGGGGCAATCTACGGAAGCTTCTCACCCCAGGTGGATTTCTCACAGCGCCTGCGCACGAATCGGGCGTCCGAAGGCCACAAGTAGCAACAAACACGACGACGACGAAAGATCCTCGAACCCATCCTCTTCTGCCCGGATCCGTTCTGGAGTGTCTATGGGCTCGAGATCGGCCACCGGAGGCCGACATCGATCGGTCCTGCATCGATCCATCGATCCTCGATCGGTCGTCGAGCGATTGATCCTCGACCGGCAAAAACCTCGATCGATCGACCCTTGTTCGGTCGTCGACTGATCGACGACGCCCGCGGCGGCGAGCACCGCCGCTGCACGTGCTCGAAGACGGCGCTGAGGTTGCCCTCGAAGGGCCCCGGCGAGGCGGCCAGTGCGCCGCAGCCGCCCGGAGCCAGCCCCCCGAAGAGCTGCTGCTCGGGCAGCTTGAGGGACGCTCCGTCCACCTTCGGGGGGGGGGGAGGTGGAGGAGGAGGAGGAGGAGGAGGAGGAGGAGGAGGAGGAGGAGGAGGAGGAGAGGAGGGGAGGATGAGGAGGAGGAGGTGGAGAAGGAGGAGGAGGTGGAGAAGGAGGGGAAGGAGGAGGAGGAGGAGGAGGAGGAGGAAGAGGAGGAGGAGGAGGAGGAGGAGGAGGAGGAGGAGGAGGAGGACCAGTGTACACCCAAGAGTCATCAACGATGTTGGAATGAACCCTCCCTCCAAGCTCCCTCTTAATAGGCCCCTACAACGGTTCATTTCCATTGAGGGAACTGCCTCGTTGAAAGACGACCGTTTGAAGACCCTGAAGCATGCCAAAACATTGTTCTCGGGATTGCAACGCCACGGATCAACCTGACTGCTGCGTCGTGACGATCTGGGACCGTGCCAGAACGCCATTTTTGGGACACCAACACCGCCCTGCATAATCCTGAATCCTTCCCAAACGCAGTTTCTGGTAAACTGATCATTGGAACCCGTAAAACTCTTGCAAAGTCCGGAAAAAACATGTGCGCGGCGCTGAGGCGAGAGCCACATTGTGAAAAGGAGCCGCCTTCAATCCGTGAAGCTCTTACAAATTATAAAACGAATGCGCGCCGCGCTAGAGCGAGAGCCACATTGTGAAAAGAAGCCCGGCCTCAATCTGTGAAACTCTTGCAGATTCTTAAAACGAATGTGCGCCGCACTAACGCGAGAACCACATATTGAAAACGACCCGGCCTCAATCCGTGGAACTCTTCAAATCTTTACAGCGAATGTGCGCAACGCTAAGGCGAGAGCCACATTTTGAAAACCACCCGCCCTCCATCTGTGAAGCTGTTGCCACTTGCTAAGCTTCAGAATCGCTAATGGTGAGGAAGTCTCAGGCGAAACGCCTGGCCCGCCCTAAACACTGGCCTCGGAGTGCGACAGGGAGAAATTGATTATAAGGAAATGGAATTGAGGAGGTTGAGGAGGATGAGGAGGAGCAGGAGCAGAAGCAGGAGGGGAAGTAGGAGGAGGAGGAGGAAGAGGAGGAGGGAGGAGGAGGGGGAGAAGGTGGAGGAGGAGGAGGAGGAGGAGGAGGAGGAGGAGGGGAGGAGGAAGGGGGGGAAGGTGGAGGAGGAGGAGGAGGAGGAGGAGCAGGAGGCCTCCTCCCCCACGGCCGCGCAGAGCTTCCAAATTACCAAACCTTCTGCCCGCTGTGAGGCCCTCCTGTGCTGACAGGCCTTCGGCTCCGTCAGCGTCGCAAGCCAAAGGCTCCCCCCGTCATCTCTCCCCTCTCGTCCTTCTCCTCCCCCCTTTTCGCTGTGACTACAGTCAACCAGTATAGTAAGGATGCGCGATCAGGATGCAAAGGCCTTGGAAGCCCCTTTGGAAGCTTTTCGAACGGGGCGCAGCCGACGAACGTAGCCAAGGATGAACCCAGGAGGCAAGGATGCAAGGGTACCCTTGGGAAGGTTGCCCATCCTTACTATGCGGGTTGACCGTAACCCTTCTTCTCCTCCTCCTCCTCCTCCTGCTACTTCGTGTGGGGGGGTGGGGGGGGCGGGGGCGTTCCTGCAACGTCCACCTTCCGGGGGTGGGTGGGCGAGAGGTCTTCCCGACGCCACCGAAGCAAGGGGGCCGCAGCAAGGCCCTGTATGAATGGATCCAGCGTGACTTCCTCAGCGGCATTGCCTGGCATTGTTTAGCATCGCATGGCATTGCTTGGCATTGTACTGCATAGCACCACTTGACATGTCTTGTCATTGCTTTGCGTTGCTTCGTAATGATTGGCATTGCCTGCCTTTGCCTAGTATTGCATGGCATTGGTTAGCATTGCTTGGCATTGTTTCGCGTCGCTTGGCATTGCTTTGCAATGATGTGCTGTGTTTTTGTTTGTTTGCATTGCTTGGGGTGCTTTGACGTTGCGTAACAATGATTGGCATTACGTGACGTTCCTTCATATTGCTTGGCAGTGCTTGGCGCTGCGTTGCATCGAAGTGTTTTCATTGCTTGGCATTGCTGTGAATCGCATTGTTGCGCTTTGCTTGCGTTGCTTAGCATCGCTTAGCCTTGCTTTGGATTGCTTGGAGTGTCTTGGCATTAGTTCGCATTTCTTGGAATTGATGTATAGAGACATTGTTTGTGCATTGCTTGGTATCGATTTGCTTTGCAGTGCGTTGCTGCGTATCGCTTGGCATTAGCTTACATTGCTTGGCGCTCATTGGCATTACCTCGCATCGCTTGGCATTGCTGGGTATTTCTTAACATTACTTGGCATGACAGGTTAATACTTGGCACTGTTTCGCATGGGTGTTCGTTGCTTGGTGTTGCTTGGCAATGCTTCGCTCCGCTGGGCGCTGCTTGGCACTGCTTTGCACTGCTTGGCATCGCTGGCCAACTCTCCGCATCGACTGGCATTGCTTGCCAGTGCTCCCGAAACAGAAAGGAAGAAAGCCGATGAACCGCGGGCACCTGGGGCCCCGGGCACCCGATAAAGGCCAGTCTTTCAAAAAGAATACAGTCGGGGCGTTGACCTAAGGAACCCTAAATAAGGAACGAGGCCCCTTTTTTCCATAAGTTAAATTTCGATTTCCTGCCGAAGACATGGGGAAAGCCTGAGGCAAGCTGCGAAACACTCAAGGAACGCGGAGCCCCTCCCCAGCGAAAAGGGTTCCTTCCTCCCCGGCTGTAATGCGACACATCCCGAGGATCTCGTGGAACCTCGAGGGAGGCCGGCCGGCGCAGGCCTCTCGCCTCCAGCAGCTGGACGACAACGGGAGCCCTCGGGAAGCCCAGTCTTCTTCGTTTTGCTCGGGCAAGCCCGGGCAAAACGAAGAAGACTGGGCAGGATGACGAGGAGGAGGTGGAGGGGGAGGAATACGGGAGAGGAAAGGACGGGCACTCCTAGAGTTGATAAAGGGGGGGGCACTTTTTCTTCTCCTACTCCTCCTTCTCCTCCTCCTCTTCCTCCTCCTCCTCTTCCTCCGTCTACTCCTCCTCCTTCTCCTCCTCCTCCCTCCTCCTCCTTCTCGCCCTCCTCTACCTCCTCCTCCTCCTCCTCCTCCTCCTCCTCCTCCTCCTCCTCCTCCTCCCTCCCCCTCCTCCTTCCTAGCCTCCTTCTACCTCCTTCTGGTTCCTCCTTCTTTTCGACCCCTCTCCTCATCTTTCTCCTCCTTCTCCTCCTCCACTTTCCTCCCTTATGAAACCCTCCTCCCTGTCGAACCCCAAGACGTGTCCGTAGGGCGGGCTGGGCGTTTCGCCTGAGACGTCCTCGCCATGTATGATTCTGAAGCTTGAAGCTTGCCGCAACTTCAAGGATCAGTGCGCGCGGTTGTGGCGCCTCCCCAATCTTTTGGGCGACACCCCGAGCCTCTAAATGGTCCTTGAAGCCGCTGAGCGCGAAGGCCAACGTGTACACCCAGTCCGGCAATATGTCCAGCCGCAGCTTGGCGAAGACCGCCAGCTTGATCTGGCTGACCTCTCGGCGCAGCAGCGGCAGCGGGCCAGGACGAGGTGGAAACAGAGAGCGAGACGAGCAATGATATCAGCCCTTCCCCCCGTGAGGAGGGGGAGGGATGGGATCGTTCCCCCTCGTCCTCCTCCTCGAGGACCTGGAGGAATGAGGAGGTATGAGGCTTCTAAGACGATGCTCTTCCCTTGGGGTGGAAGGTCTCCAGGCAGCCGGGCACTGAAGGAGATGGCGCCATAATAAAGGTTCGAACACTGGCGCACATTGCCTGGCGCCCTGCCAAGCTTGTCGTGATTAGATTAGGCCTGGGGATGCTGAGCTCAAGTAAGGCTGAGGAGGTTTGCGGAGGAGCGGAGGTCCTCTCCTCCCCTTCCGCGAGGGAGGCGAGGAGGAGGAGGAGGAGGAGGAGGAATAGGAAGAGGATGAGGAGGAGGGCCTCCTCTGGCGGCAGGCGGCAGAGGCGGGAGGGCGGCGACCCGGTCCGGCCCCGAATGCTCCCAGTGGCCGCGAGGCTGCGACGGGGGCGGACATCCCTCTAGCTGTCCGGTGTGCAGCAGTTGCGATGCCAAGGCTTCCATGGCGGGATTTGAAGGAAGACGGGGAGGACGGAGGAGGAGGGGGAGGGGATGGGCTGAAGAGGAAGACGGGAGCGAGGACGAGGATGGGGGCGAGGACGGGAGAGGGCTGGCTGGAACTGCGCATCGAACGAGGACCGTTGAGGAAAGCTTCGGCTTTTCCAGCTTCCTGCGCCCGAGCAGTGCCCTGAACTGGGATCGCCCTTTTTTTGGCTTGCTTCGCAGGTATCCATGGCGTCAACCACCAGAGCCTTCGGAGAGGTGTGACCTGCAGTTCCCCGTCTCACCGTCCTCCTTCGTTAGATCATTCTCCCCGTCCTTAGAAGCTCCATTGCCAAGAGGCCCACTTGGGCTACAAGTAACGATACGTAACAACGGCCCTTCCCCTGCTCCTCCAGCTTCTCGTTTCCATCCCCCTCCCCTATTCCCCTCTCCATTATCCTGCCCCCCCCTCTCCCTCCTGTTCCCTGCGCATCCAACCTGATCACCCTCCCTCATACCTTACGCACTTCGTATCCTTGTCCGACTCCGGCTCCCACTTCCCTCCTCAATCCCCCTCCACGTGCCCCTTCCCCCGTGTCTGTGTCCGCCTGCCCGTCCTTCCGCCCGTCCGTCCGTTCGTCTGTCTGTCTGTCTGTCTGCCTGCCTGTCTGTCTATGTCTGGTAACGTGTGTCTGTGTCTGTCGGTGTCTGCTGTTCCCCCTCGTGCGCGCTGGCCAATTCGCTTCGCCCCGAATCGCCACCCGCTGGAGCAGCCTCTGTGCCCCGCCGCGGGCGAAACAACTGTCTGTCTGTGTCTGTGTCTGTGTCTGCGTCTGTCTGTAATCATGTCTGTCCGTCCGTCCGCCCGCCCGTCTGTCTGTCTGTCTGTTTGTTTCTCTGCCTGTCTGCTTGTTTCGCTGTTTTCTGTTTTTGTTTTTTTTTGTTTTTTTTTTCTCTCTCTCTCTCTCTCCCTCTCTCTCTTATATATATATATATATCACTCGTACCCTGAAGAGTCCAGACGGGGCCACCAGGCAGACCTAGAAGGGCGCTCGAGAGTGCTCTACAAGGATCTGTGCAGCTCGCCGTAAATTGTAATGATGCCTCCCGAGAGCCCCCTCACTGTCGAGGGGGCCAGGATCAGGGGCGGTGCGTACAACATTATATATATATATATATGAAAAGCCCGCACAATTCTCTCGACGATCTCAGGCGCAGGTTGGCCATCGAGCCCGAGACGTGTGGCGGGGCAGGCAGGAGGCGATTCAGGATGGCATACAAGCCTCCGCATAACAGGGCAATGAATGTAATGAAGCATGTCGTCTCGGCTCAGGGCGCACTGGAATCTACACATGCCAATCTCAGATGAGTGCAGTCGCGCACTCGTGAGCCAGCCTCCTACAATCGTCTTAATCTGCCAGGCTGGTGGACCTCCATTTCGGACGAGATCTCTGAGGGCATCCCAAGATGATCCCGAAAAAGGGAGCTCCCAAGATGCCAAGCGTTTGGCAAGGGTGAGGTGGAGGACGCCGGGGTAGAGGGAGAGGCGCAAGGAAGAGGAAAGGGATCTGTGCACTCTCACCTGCCCCTGGCTCGAGGCTTCGGCGAGGGCGTCGAGGGCAGTGCGGGCGGCAGAGGCATGGGCCTTAAGCGGGAAGGCGGCCCTGCTGGCCTCAGAAAGGTGGACCACGATCGGCTTGGTCCACCAGAACGATGGCGACCACCAGCCAATTGCCATCTCCGCCAAGCTGCCGAAAGCGAGTGTGGACTCTCGCAGCGTGTCGAGCAAAGCCGACCAGTTGGTCACAGTGCCCAAGGCCGTGCGCATGCGCGTGGCCAGGCTGAGGACCTGCATGCTGGCAGGCCGCAAAGACGACCAGCTCCCGATGCCGAGAAGCCCGGCCAGCGATAGCGACTGAGGCGGGAGGTGCCAGAGCTTGTGCCGCGCCCAGGCCTCACGCCTGACCAGCGCACGGGGCAACGGCAACAGCTGCATCAAGTAACTGAGGACAGTGAGCACACGCGAGTTGTAGATCACCGTCGTGATGTGTACAGGCGCACCCTCATGGGCAAGGTCGCGGATGCGGTGGATCCATTTAGCTCCCGCCTCCTGCCACACGTCGTCGATCGTGGCGCCTGGGCCCAAGATGCAGCCAAGGTACTTGGCGAATGGAACGACGTCCATCTCTCCCAGCCAGGCAGCTCCAGCGCGAGCCACTCCTTGATGCTGTGCGCCAGCTCCACAGTGAATGGGGCATTCAGGGGCACCACCTTGCACTTGGCCGGCTGGAGGGCGAGACCTGCCAATGTCTGCGCCGCTGCGAAGACCCTGCGATAGCGGAGCAAGAGCCTGCGATCCTGCACGACCGTGCCAACGTCGTCGGCGCAGACACCCACGACGGAGGACTCCCATTTCGCCAGGATCTCCTCCATGTGTGCCACGAAGGGGTTCATGGCGACAGCCCATAGGGACCCCGAGAGCGGGCAACCCTGCGCGATGCCCGCCGTGACCATCATGAATGGGCGCAGCTCGCCCTGCAGGGACACGTAGGCCTGCGGCAGCCAGCGCATGCCCATGATGAGCTGGTAGAGGCCGCCCTGGAAGCCCGAGCGCAGGAGCACCGCGCGCAGGAAAGAGACGGCCAGGGAAGGGAACGCATTCCCGAAGTCGAAGAGGACCATCATCGGCATGCGCTGGTCCCTGGTGGAGGAGAAGCCAACCCGACGCGCCGCGGTGTCGAGCAGGGTAATGTTGTCCAGGAAATTGCGCCCAGGCAGGAACCCCCTCTGAGTTGGGGGAGAGTGGCGCTCGATGTCGAGCTTGATGAGATGGTTCACGCTGGCAGCCAGCAGCTTCACGTCCGTGTTCTTGAGGGCCAGAGGTCTCGTCGTGGAAGGCGTCCGAGTCGGGCCCGAGGCAAGATCGTCAGCTTCGGCACCTTTGGGCAGGAATACCATCAAATTGTCATTGGGGTCGGGAGGAGGCGGGAAGCCCTGCGCGATCTCGAGGCCCACCTGCGCTAGATCCAAGGGCCGTGACGACCCGAAGCAGCTCCAAGCATCGTACGGCAGCCCGTCAGGTCCTGGAGCTGATGCACGAGCTCTGCGAGCCGCTCGCTGAAGATCACGAGAGCCAGGTAGATGCACGTCCTCAAGGCCTTAAATCACCACAGGATGCTCGTCCAAGTATCTTTCCACCAGAGGGTGTTCGGGGAGATCGCGTTGAAATATCGGCGACCAGTGCCTGCACAACTCTTCAAACACATCCGCTTGGGCATTCACGATCCTCTCTGCCTCCAACTCCAGACCATTCGCAGCTCCCGTCTCAGGAAGACGCAGGCCCTGAAGTTTAAGAGTGCGCTTGAAGGGGGTCCAGAGTGCAGCCCTCCGTCTGGTGGCACGTCTCATGGCGTTAATGTACTTGAAAGAGGTGCCGTCGGGGGAAGCAGCTTGAGCACGCCGATCGGGATCTGCGAGACGACGTTCACTATAGAGGTTATGCTCAGCCGCGAACGCCTCGGCGAAGGCCGATGGGTTCGAGAGGGAGACCGAGGTGCTGGTCATGATCAGGTGCTCAGCTGCGAGCGGTGACGAAGCGATAAGACGCTCTGCCAGAATGATGTCGTCTCTCCAGACCGCCCTGGCGACCGATCGGAATATGAGCAACTTCGAGTCGTTGTCGAGTGCTCCGTGCTTGAAGAAACTGTCACGAACGCGACGAGATGCCTCCCGCATGAGCCTCTTATGCTCTTGCCTGCGTTGGTAAGGATGAAGAACATGCCACGATACATGTTGGGCCAAGAGCTGGCATTGCCTCGCATACTCGGGGGGCCTGAAGATGTGCCGCGGGATAGGTTGCGACTCACTGTCCATCGGAGGTCGGCCAGCAAGGGTAACCACAATCGGAGCATGATCACTAAGGCCAGTCTCATGTAACCTTTCAGGGAGGTCACGCGTCGTAAGCGTAATGTGCCACTGTATCGCTAACCACGAGGGAGAAGCCAGAAATGCTCTGTCGATCTGCGACAGCTTCGGAGGCGACCCCTCCTCTTGCCAGAAGTGCGTGGGGAGCTCGTTGTCGAGCTCGACGAAGTCTTGGAAGATATCTCTCCAGCGGCGCCAAGTGGCCGAGGCGCACCATTGTTCATGCTCGTGAGGCCCTTGTCGATGAGAGGGGTCTGGACCAGCAGGGGCGGCGCGGCCGAGATGTTGAAGTCGCCGAGCAGCAGCAGCGTGACCATCGTCGGTGCCGACTTGGCCATAGTGATATCAGCATGAAGCCGTGCTTCGAGCTTTGTCATCTCCTCGTCGCTGATGCCGAAATTGTGGACGTTGTAGATGATGAGCGAAGGAGAGGGGGAGTCCGACTCGGGGCCTGATACACGTAGTCGCTGGACCCGAGCAGAGACCATAATCTCACGAGAGTACCTTGGAGCTTCAGAAGCCGCGAACCG